ATAACGCTCTAATTGCAACACTAGTAAAAATCTGTGACCACTCATATTTTCCATCAAAAGTCAGTCTTTATATGAGAAAACTAAAATCGGCCGTAGATCCTTAAATAACGCTCTAATTGCAATAGTAGTGAAAATCTGTGATCACTCATATTTTCCATCAAAAGTCAGGTTTATATGAGAAAACTAAAATCGGCCGTAAATCCTTAAATAACGCTCTAATTGTAAAACTAGTGAAAATCTGTGATCACTCATATTTTCCATCAAAAGTCAGTCTTTATATGAGAAAACTAAAATCGGCCGTGGATCCTTAAATAACGCTCTAATTGCAAAACTAGTGAAAATCTGTGATCACTAGCATTCTCCATCAAAAGTCAGTCTTTATATAAGAATACTAAAATCGGCTGTAGATCCTTAAATAACGCTTCAATTGCAAAACTAGTGAAAATCTGTGATCACTCATATTCTCCATCAAAAGTCAGTCTTTAAATGAAAAAACTAAAATCGGCGGTAGATCCTTAAATAACGCTTCAATTGCAAAACTAGTGATAATCTGTGATCACTTATATTTCTTGCCAAAAATCGATTTTTATATGAGAAAACTAAAATCGGCCGTAGATCCTTAAATAACGCTTCAATTGCAAAACTAGTGAAAATCAGTGATCACACATATTTCTTACTAAAAATCGATTTTTACATGAGAAAACTAAAATCGGCCGTAGATCCTTAAATAACGCTCTAATTGCAAAACTAGTGAAAATCTGTGATCACTCATATTTCTTACCAAAAATCGATTTTTATATGAGAAAACTAAAATCGGCCGTAGATCCTTAAATAACGCTCTAATTGCAAAACTAGTGAAAATCTGTGATCACTCATATTTTCCAAACTAAAATCGGCTGACTATAGACTAGACTATAGACTAGACTATAGACTAGACTATAGACTAGACTATAGACTAGACTATAGACTAGACTATAGACTAGACTATAGACTAGACTATAGACTAGACTATAGACTAGACTATAGACTAGACTATAGACTAGACTATAGACTAGACTATAGACTAGACTATAGACTAATATAGACTAGACTATAGACTAGACTATAGACTAGACTATAGACTAGACTATAGACTAGACTATAGACTAGACTATAGACTAGACTATAGACTAGACTATAGACTAGACTATAGACTAGACTATAGACTAGACTATAGACTAGACTATAGACTAGACTATAGACTAGACTATAGACTAGACTATAGACTAGACTATAGACTAGACTATAGACTAGACTATAGACTAGACTATAGACTAGACTATAGACTAGACTATAGACTAGACTATAGACTAGACTATAGACTAGACTATAGACTAGACTATAGACTAGACTATAGACTAGACTATAGACTAGACTATAGACTAGACTAGACTAGACTATAGACTAGACTATAGACTAGACTATAGACTAGACTATAGACTAGACTATAGACTAGACTATAGACTAGACTATAGACTAGACTATAGACTAGACTATAGACTAGACTATAGACTAGACTATAGACTAGACTATAGACTAGACTATAGACTAGACTATAGACTAGACTATAGACTAGACTATAGACTAGACTATAGACTAGACTATAGACTAGACTATAGACTAGACTATAGACTAGACTATAGACTAGACTATAGACTAGACTATAGACTAGACTATAGACTAGACTATAGACTAGACTATAGACTAGACTATAGACTAGACTATAGACTAGACTATAGACTAGACTATAGACTAGACTATAGACTAGACTATAGACTAGACTATAGACTAGACTATAGACTAGACTATAGACTAGACTATAGACTAGGCTATAGACTAGACTATAGACTAGACTATAGACTAGGCTATAGACTAGACTATAGACTAGACTATAGACTAGACTATAGACTAGACTATAGACTAGACTATAGACTAGACTATAGACTAGACTATAGACTAGACTATAGACTAGACTATAGACTAGACTATAGACTAGACTATAGACTAGACTATAGACTAGACTATAGACTAGACTGTAGACTAGACTATAGACTAGACTGTAGACTAGACTATAGACTAGACTCCCCATAATACCCTCCCCACTAAATTGGCGGAGGGTATAAATATAAATATAATTAAAAATATCGGTGCAAATTAAAAAGCTTTTAATATAATTATTTTTAATCATGCATACAAATTACGCTACAGAAATTTGACAAAAGTTTGTTTTAATTATTTATGATATTATAATGCATTAAACAAGTAATAAAGTATATTCGGGCGTGACCGACCAACAGTTATGAATATTAAATGTAATATATTTTTCATAATAAAGCATTTGTCTTCAATATTACCTTGTTCCGATACATTTTAGCAATTTATGTTCCCGTTTGGACTCTATCGTGTTTTCAACAGACAGACAGACAGACAGACGGACGGACATGGCTAGATCGTCTTAGAATCTAATATGGGTCTTAGACGAATATTTTGATGTGTTACAAGCGGAGTGACAAAAACAATATACCCCCCATCTTTTTTGATGGTGGGTATAAAAATATATTGTTTTTGTAACACATCGAAATATTGGTTATAGACCTTATTAAATTCTTAGACGATCTAGCCATGTCCGTCTGTCTGTTGAAATCATGATAGGGACCACACGGGAGGAGCCAGACAGTTGAAATTTCGCATAAATATTCTTTATTACTAAGGATTGTTTGGTATTGAAAATGAGCAATATCGGTCCAATTTTTCGGATAGCCCCCATACAAGAGATCCTCCAAAAAAAGCTTTAACGGACATAACTGCTTCAGAAGTACGAGTATAGCGATGAAATTCGACATGAATAAGTTTCATATGAGCCAAAATCTTTCTACCAAATTTTTTAAGGATTGGTCCATAATTGACCCTATCCCCGATATAAGGTCCCTTAAGAAAATTACAGTAACACTAATTACTGGCATAAAAATGCGAGTACAGAGATGATATTCAATGTAAACAAGATTTATATAAACCAAAATTGGTCTACAAAAAGTTATGAGGATAGGTCAATAACTGACGAGAGGTATCATATAAGATCCCCTTTGGAAAATTTGATCGGGAAAATTACTAGTACAGCGATGAAAATCTACATAAAATGTTTTCCTTATTTAAAATACGAGTATTGCGATGAAATTTGATATAAACAAGTTCTATATAAAATTAAATCTATGTAGAAAATTTTATAAGTATCGATTCATAATTGACGCATATTCAGAAAATTACTCATACGCTCACGGTTTAAAAATTGAACAAAAATATTTTGTTTTTCAAAATTTATATTTTGTTAGTTCAAAAGAGCTCGGTCCATAATTGACTTCTAAATATCACCCTGATGTTTATAGGGAAGCATTCCTTTTACGGCATACGGTTTGATGGTGGGTATATGAGATTCGGCACAGCCGAATATAACACTCTCACTAGTTATTTTTCAAGTTGAACTTTAAATATACATTAGGGTTCTATAGTTGAAACGAAAAGTCGACTTTTCGACTTTTCGACTTTTTGCATTTAGTTAAAAGTCTACTTTTCTACCTTTCGACTTTTTTCATTTTATGAAAAGTCGATTTTTTCGACTTTTCGACCTTTTTCATATATTTAAAAGTCGACTTTTAGACTTTTCGACTTTTAGTATTTTATAAATGGTCGACTTTTCGACTTTTTCCGACTTTTCGACTTTTTCCGACTTTTTTCGACTTTTTTTCGACTTTTTCCGACTTTTTTTCGACTTTTCGACTTTTTTCGACTTTTCGACTTTTTCCGACTTTTTTCGACTTTTTTCGACTTTTCGACTTTTCGACTTTTTCCGACTTTTTCCGACTTTTTTCGACTTTTTTCGACTTTTTTCGACTTTTCGACTTTTTTCGACTTTTTTCGACTTTTCGATTTTTTACGACTTTTTGACTATTTTCGACTTATTTCGACTTTTTTTCGACTAATTTTTACTTTTTTCGAGTTTTTCCGACTATTTTAGAGTTTTTGACCTCTTTTCCACTTTTTTAAAATTTTCGACTATTTTCGACTTTTTTCGACTTTTCGACTTTTTCCGACTTTTCGACTTTTTCCGACTTTTCGACTTTTTTCGACTTTCTTCGACTTTTTTTCGACTTATCGACTTTTTTCGACTTTTCGACTTTTCGACTTTTATTTACAAAGTCGACTTTTCGACTTTTTTCATAGACGATAGTCGAGTTATCGACTTTTTTGGAACAAATAGTCGACTTCGACTTTTCGACTTTTTTCGATTATTCGAAAGTCGATTTATAGAACCCGAATATACATATTATTCCTTCAAATTTCTAAGAATTTCCAATACATATTTTATATAAAGTAAAAATTTTTCTGGCAACACTGTTCGGTCACGATACACAAATATGTACATTAAAATTGCTTTGTAAAATTGCAAAGAGTTTCAAAAACTGCTGCGGCCTACCTGGACTACCTTAGGGTGAATTTAACTTCGTGCAGCACATACATATACAGAAAAAACTGCACTCTATGTTCCATTTGTTAGAAAAAAATATGATGGGAATTTCAATTTATAAATGAGGATTTTTTTTGGAACTTCTAGCCTAAGATTGGGGGCATGAGTCAAAATTTGTCTGACAACACTGATAGAATAGGACATAGTGTCTGAAATAACACCAAGTCTACTAAATAATAGTACAAAAACAAGTCTGAGGAATAAAAACGGGTTCTTCGAATTATCCTTATCCATAAATAGTTTTTTTTTCTCCTAAAATAAGGCAACAATATTTATTTTATAACATTTTGCTTTTGTATATGTTCTACAATTCAATACATTTCCTCCTAAAAGTATGCCTATTGCATTATTTCATAACATTAAGCTTTTGAATATATTACAATATGACAATTGGGGGTTTTAATTGTTGTTGCTTTTCTATACATGCACATAAAAAAAG